TCTAATTACCTCCCTTTATTAGCATGAAATGTAAATTCAGTAATATCTTTACAAATAGTATGTGAGAAGTTAGCAGTTAACAGTGAGCTAAGCAAAAAGGCATTACGATTTATATAGGGAAATCAATGATCTGCTGTTATACTCAGCTGGCTAAGCAATCTAGCGGGGCATTCCAAAATATAGTGTAAAAAGCTCTGCTGGAATGCTCAGCTGGCTAAGCAATCTAGTGGGGCATTCCAAAATATAGTGTAAAAATGCTCTGCTGTTATGCTCAGCTGGCTAAGCAATCTAGCGGGGCATTCATAAATTTAGTGTAAAAATGCTCTGCTGTTATGCTCAGCTTGGTAAGCAATCTAGCGGGGCATTCAAAAATATAGTGTAAACATGATCTGCTGGTATGCACAGCTGGCTAGGCAATCTAGCAGGGCATTCTAAAATAATAGTGTAAAAATGCTTAGCTGTTATGCTCAGCTGGCTTAAGCAATCTAGCGGGACATTCCAAAATGTAGTGGTAAAATGCTCTGCTGAATTGCTTCAGCTGGCTAGGCAATCTAGAAGGGCATTCCTAAATATAGTGTTAAAAATGCTCAGCTGGCAAGCTCAGCTGGCTAAGCAATCTAGCAGAAGCGTTCCAAAATATAGTGCGAAAAAATGCTCTGCTGGTATGCTCAGCTAGCTAAGCAATTCTAGCAGGGCATTCCTAAATATAAGTGTTAAAAATGCTCAGCTGGGCTAGGCAATCCAGCAAAGCATTCCTGAAAATTAGTGTAAAAATGTTCTGCCGGAATGCTGAGCTGTCTAGGCAAACTAGGCAGGGCATACTTAAATAAAGTAATAAATTTCGTTGGTCTGCAACTGATTATTTGGCCACTCGTAGACTTTCTAAAATATTTAGTGCCAATGCAGATAAATGACATTTTTTACTTCTACGGGGACCCTTAAGTGTCTATTTCTTTGGTCTCCGACTGATTCTGGGAACGATCGCAGACTTTCAGGAATTTTTTTGTGTTAATGCAGATAATGACATTTGTGAATTTTTAGGGACCATCCAGAGTCCTTTTGCGTTGGTCTGCGAATGTTTTTCTGGAACACTCGCAGACTTTTCAGAAATGTTCGGTGCCAATGGAGATAATGACATTTTTTTACTTCAAAAGGACCCTCCTGAGTCCTATTTCGTTGGTCTGCCGACTGATTCTGAGTCACTCGCAGACTTTCAGGAATTTTGGTGTCAATGCAGAAAAATGAATATTTTCTGACTTATTGGGACGCTTTCTGAATCCATTTTTTTGGTCTGCGACTGATTCTGAGGCACTCACAGACTTTCAGGAATTTTTGACATTTTTTACTTCTAGGGACCATCCAGGGTCCATTTTTTCGGTCTGCGACTTAATCTTTGACAGTCACAGACTTTCAGGAATTGTTGGTGCCAATAGAGATAATTACAATTTATGACATTTTTGACCATCCAGAGTCTATTTCGTTGGTCTGCGACTGATTATTGGGCACTTGCAGACTTTCAGGAAGTTTTGGTGCTAATGCAGATAATGATATTTTAGGGTAAAAATGCTCTGCTTATGACTAAGGGGTCCTTAAAAGTAAAAAAGTCATGATCTGCAATGGCACTAAACATCCTGAAAGTCTGCGAGTCGCAAGGAATCAGTCGCAGACCCAAGAAATGTACTCTGGCGGTTCCCTAAAAGTAAAAAATGTCATTATCTCCATTGGCATCAAAATTCATGAAAGTCTGCAAGTGTTCCAAAATCAGTCGCAGACCAGCGAAATGAACTCTGGTGGGTCGCTAGAAGTCAAAAATGTCATTATCTCCATTGGCACCCAGAGATTCCTGAAAGTCTGCGAATGTCCCAGAATCAGTCGCAGACCATAAAAAATGGACTCTGGCGGGTCCCTAGAAGTAAAAATTGCCATCATCTCTATTGGCACCAAAACTTTCCTGAAAGTCTGCGAGTGTCCAACAATACGCTGCAGGCCAATGAAATGGACTCTTAAATGTCCCTAGAAGTCAAAAATATGATTATTTCCATTGGCACCAACCATTCCTGAAAGTCTGCGAGTGTCCAAGAATCAGTCGCAGACGACCAAAATGGACTCTTGAGGGTCCTTAGAAGTCTTAATTGTCAATATCAGCATTGGCACCAAAATTCCTGAAAGTCTGCGAGTGTCCTTCAAAAAGTCGCGCAGGACAATGAAATAGTCCTCTTAAAGGTCCTTAGAAGTCAAAAATATCATTATTTCTATTGGCACCGAAAATACCTGAAAGTCTGCGAGTGCCTCAGGATTGCCTAGAAGTCGAAAATGTCAATTAAACTTTGGCAACAATAAATCCTGGAACTCAGAATTAGTCTGCCAACTGAGCATTCCACCTGAGCATTTTTAACTATATTTCGGAATGCCCTGCTAGATTGCCTAGCCAGCTTAGCATTTCACCAGAGCATTTTTACACCATATTTAGTAATGCCCTGCTAGATTGCCTAGCCAGCTGAGCATTCCACCAGAGCATTTTTTCACTATATTAAGGAATGCTCTGCTATAGTGCCTAGCCAGCTGAGCATTCCAGCAGAGCATTTTTACACTATATCTAGTAATGCTCTGCTAGATTGCCTAGCCAGCTGAGCATTCCACCAGAGCATTTTTTCACTATGTTTAAGGAATGCTCTGTTATAGTGCCTAGCCAGCTGAGCATTCCTGCAGAGCATTTTAACACTTTATTTAGTAATGCCCTGCTAGATTGCCTAGCCAGCTTAGCATTCCACCAGAGCATTTTTACACTATATTTCGTAATGCTCTGCTAGATTGCCTAGCAGCTTAGCATTCCACCAGAGCATTTTAACACTATATTTAGGAATGCCCTGCTAGATTGCCTAGCCAGCTTAGCATTCCAGCAGAGCATTTTTACACTATATTTAGCAATGCCCTGCTAGATTGCCTAGCCAGCTTAGCATTCAAGCAGGGCATTTTTTCACTATATTTAGTAATGCCCTGCTAGATTGCCTAGCCAGCTTAGCATTCCAGAAAAGCATTTGTTCACTATATTTAGTAATGCTCTGCTAGATTGCCTAGCCAGCTTAGCATTCCAGCAGAGCATTTTTACACTGTATTTAGTAATGTCCTGCTAGATTGCCTAGCCAGCTTAGCATTCCAGCAGAGCATTTTTACACTGTATTTAGTAATGCTCTGCTAGATTGCCTAGCAGCTTAGCATTCCACCAGAGCATTTTTACACTATATTTAGGAATGCCCTGCTAGATTGCCTAGCCAGCTTAGCATTCCAGCAGAGCATTTTTACACTATATTTAGCAATGCCCTGCTAGATTGCCTAGCCAGCTTAGCATTCAAGCAGAGCATTTTTACACTATATTTAGTAATGCCCTGCTAGATTGCCTAGCCAGCTTAGCATTCCAGAAAAGCATTTGTTCACTTTATTTAGTAATGCTCTGCTAGATTGCCTAGCCAGCTTAGCATTCCAGCAGAGCATTTTTACACTGTATTTAGTAATGCTCTGCTAGATTGCCTAGCCAGCTTAGCATTCCAGCAGAGCATTTTTTTTCACTATATTTAGGAATGCTCTGCTAGATTGCCTAGCCAGCTTAGCATTCCAGCAGAGCATTTTTACACTATATTTAGTAATGCCCTGCTAGATTGCCTAGCCAGCTTAGCATTCCAGAAAAGCATTTGTTCACTATATTTAGTAATGCTCTGCTAGATTGCCTAGCCAGCTTAGCATTCCAGCAGAGCATTTTTACACTGTATTTAGTAATGTCCTGCTAGATTGCCTAGCCAGCTTAGCATTCCAGCAGAGCATTTTTACACTGTATTTAGTAATGCTCTGCTAGATTGCCTAGCAGCTTAGCATTCCACCAGAGCATTTTTACACTATATTTAGGAATGCTCTGCTAGATTGCCTAGCCAGCTTAGCATTCCAGCAGAGCATTTTTACACTGTATTTAGTAATGTCCTGCTAGATTGCCTAGCCAGCTTAGCATTCCAGCAGAGCATTTTTACACTGTATTTAGTAATGTCCTGCTAGATTGCCTAGCCAGCTTAGCATTCCAGCAGAGCATTTTTACACTGTATTTAGTAATGTCCTGCTAGATTGCCTAGCCAGCTTAGCATTCCAGCAGAGCATTTTTACACTGTATTTAGTAATGCTCTGCTAGATTGCCTAGCCAGCTTAGCATTCCAGCAGATCATTTTTTTTCACTATATTTAGGAATGCTCTGCTAGATTGCCTAGCCAGCTTAGCATTCCAGCAGAGCATTTTTACACTATATTTAGTAATGCCCTGCTAGATTGCCTAGCCAGCTTAGCATTCCAGAATAGCATTTGTACACTATATTTAGTAATGTCCTGCTAGATTGCCTAGCCAGCTTAGCATTCCAGCAGAGCATTTTAACACTATATTTAGTAATGCACTGCTAGATTGCCTAGCCAGCTGAGCGTTCCAGCAGAGCATTTTTTTCACTAAAGCTAGGAATGCTCTGCTAGATTGCCAAGACAGCTGAGTATTGCAGCAGAGCATTTTTACACTATATTTAGGAATGCCCTGCTAGATGCCCAATACAGCTGAGCATTACAGCAGATCCTATACCTTACCTTCCCTATATAAATTGAAATGCCTTTTTGCTTAGCTCACTGTTCACTGCTAACTTCTCACATACTTACAAATAATGCTTTTTGGAACTTAAAATATTGATAAATATTTATTTACGCATTATATTTATGATATTAAACCATAAAAAATTGTGTTACAGGATCTTTAAATAGATTGTCGTATTTACATTTGTAGAGAAAAATAATTGTATATACCTATATAGATTATTCTTAAACAATACTGCAATGGAGAATGACAAACAAACTGATGAAATGATTGATTTATTCATCATCTGTTGAAATCTTATGAATATTGAAATCAATGTGGCCTCACATTTTTTTATTGTATTGTATTTCTAAATGTAACATGTGTTACAACAATGCAAGACAGATTCCCCTTATAAAATTGCAAGACGTTTTAAGATGTATACAAAATGCTTAAATTAATCGTAACGCTAGATATGATATGGATTTACACCTATAATAATGCAGAAATAAGAGAACAAAAGTAAAACAATGCATTTTCAAATAAATCCAAAATTGATTTTAAAACGCGGAAAATAAATGATGGTTGTATTACGTTCTAAAAAGCGGAAAGATGATTGTCAGTTTCCTAGATATAAAAGATGGCTACCATTAGAGAAGTTTTTTCTCGCGTTGATGTTGATAGCTTTTGTTGCACAATTTTGTGTCGTTCTTCCGCGTGATGGTAAGTCATTTTTAGATCCAATTGCATGTTTGAATGTACTACATTAGTCAAAAATGTCTTGAGAAGCACTTTACAAGTCTTTTTAATGATCAATAAACCGTCTGCGTGATCTGGAACAGCGTCCATTTTATCCTTGAAAGCGTCTTTTCGATACAGAGCAACAATCAAATTTTGTTGATTCAATGTTTTTGCTTTAAATGCCAGGAGCAAGTGGCAAAGTTTGTCGATGATTTTTTCTTTCTTTCTGTCTTTTATTTCACGGATTTGATCTATAAATGTTTTATTGTTTGTCGGTTGTGCTAATAAAAAACAAAGATCATCGGACGGTAAAGACATGTTTGTACAAAATAAAATTATCATAAGTATTTGTGTTATGTCAATTTTGCTTAAAGTTCGGTCAATAAAATTAGTTTTTGAGCTACAAGTCTGCAGTCAAACTATAGTTCATATTACTTTGTTCTGCCAGAGGCATTATAGAAGGACCCTTATTTTCTTCCAAAGACATTGCAGTCAACTTAGGTAAAAACATTTGTTCCAAATTTTGTTAATTCATAAAAATCAATGTAAATATAAAAAGTTATAAGAGTTAGTTAAATGAAGACCAAAACAAACCTGTTCATATCAGACTATATATTAGTACAATACTATTATTTAATATGCGCAAAATTGGTATGCTTATAATTTATATTGCAGCTCCGTTTACTCATACGTCACTGATGAAAGGTGGTTTCAAGACATTACAACCTTCAATAAAACAAACTACACACGAGTTTAAAGATACTGTAAGCGCTCTTCAACCTCCAGCGGCAAAGTCATCTGACGTCACATATATCATGAACAATGTCCTACGTCATTTAACAAAGTCACCCAGTACCAAACCGATAAGAAGTGATGTAAACGATGGCCTTCTTCCACCAATGAAACCACTTGTTACTAAACAGATGAGAGATGATGTGCCCGATGGCCTACGTCTTCTAACAAAACAACCTGGCACCAAGCAAATAATAGGTAACGGGCACGTGGACCTGCGTCCACCAACAAGGTCACCTGATATCATACAGGCTAGAGGTGATGTGCGCAATGCACTACGCCCTTCAACAAGGTTAACTCAATCCCCAAACCATCAAAGCCACCAAACTAGTGTCCAGCTTCGATCAGTCATTTCTCAGCAGGTATTTTATGGCTTATTGTAATATTAGATAGCTCATGACGTTTTTGTTTACATATATGACGGTATATGCAATTCTTTTCATAAAAATGTACCAAAAATGAAAAGCTTTCCGCCGCGTTTTACCCAAATCGGCTAATAATTACAAAACAATCGATAATCAATTTAATTTTGAGTATATTTCTCTTTTGTCCTTTGCAGACATTTTTGTTTGTTTCATTTGCAACGCTTCACTTGATATTGTAAAATTTCAAATTTGATGTTTTTAGTCTTTTTTTTATCACAATGGAGCTCATTTAATCAAGGAATACGTTTACAACTGCATGAAATAACCCGTTTCTTCTTCACATCGAACATTTTGTCTTGATTTATGTGGTCACATTTTCTTTCTTCTTTAAGCAGACGACAGATTTTCAAAGAACGCATGCTAGAAATTATAATAGACAACTACACTTAAGGGATCAGTGTAAACTTTTGAGTCAAAACCAAACGTCATATAGAAATGCATACATGAAAAGGGATATTTTAAGAATTCTAACGAGCTCAACTTTAGCCCTTGTATATTGCCGTGTCAACAAAGCAGCCTCCTGGTACACTATTAGTATATTACGCAACGTTTTGGACTGCAACGAAGACTGTATGCGCCGATATTCTCAAAGAATCCGAAGTTTATCGTATGCAAAGAAAAAAAATCAGATCAAAAATTCATTTAAGTTTTTGTTCGTCAGAGAACCCTACGGTCGATTGTTTTCTACATACTGTAATAAATTCTATCTTCCAAAAGGGATTTGGGATCCCATAGGGAAGGATATTGTCAGACGGTACAGGAAAAACCCTTCCGAAGATAGTTTGAAATACGGATATGACGTCACATTTGGGGGAATTTTAAGGGTTTTACACCCCGGGGAAGGGGGTTTGAAGCGGGAAAAAAAAATGGAGGGCCTCATATTAACCGAGGGTATTTTAATTGAAAAACCAGGGAAACTATAAAATATGATTTTAAAAAGGAAAATTAGAAACATTCAAATCAGTTTTTAGTTTTTACCTAGAAACATGAGGGGAAAAAGCAAAGAAATATCAAAACCCCCACATCCCGGGAGGGTTTTGGGTTTGAAAGTCCTTTTTCTTTCGGTGAATTGTTTTTTTGTCCTGTGGGTTTCTCGAAAAAATTTAAAAAATACCCCAAAAATGGGACATGAAAACCCCTATACAAAAGGGCCTGGAATTATTATCAGATAACTGCAGTCATATCTAAGCATATTGATATGCCATATGTAAGGTCGGATAATATCAAATTTTACTCATTTATCGCAAAATTAAAGGAAGCTAGTGAAATGTCTAAAAATAAGTTTTCTTGACTTGATGAAGTTTCAAACCACCATGAAGCTAGTTCAAGCTTAAATTTCCGACTGTATCTACGAAAGGATTTTAGAAAGGTTTTGAAAAATGTATGTTAAAAGAGGATTGCTTTGCTTTTTGGGATATGGACGTAAAATCCTGACTGGCCCTTTTTTTAACAGGTCATTCTCTCGGCAAACAAACCAATAGTTTTTAACTAATTTTAGTGCTATGAAAGTAAATTAATTTTTACCCTCATTTTTGCAACTCTATCATATGCCATCATTATTCCATGTTATTATGATCATCGGTTAGAACTCCGTGACCGCTGTGGTTTCGAATACCATCAGGGACTTTGGATTCTTTCATATGAGGAAGCTATATATACATGTATAGCCAAAGGGTGATCACTGGTTCTATCTCGTATCTGAAAGAATGCACCATGTCGTCACCTTAGTGCAATAACTAATTTACAGCTATTTAACTTAGAATGACTTATTCCGTTATTGCACTAATGCAATGATATGCGGTCCTTCTCCGCCAATACAGCATGAAATTTGCAATATGACAAATTCAGTGTCGGTGTGACAACAGAACATCTGTCGTCATTCTTCATAAACACGTTAACCCTTAACCCGCTGAATCTTTGTAATGGATTTGCCCTGCTTTTTTAATTTGGAACAGTCCATTTGAATGTTAAGGGATTACATTATAAAAATATACAAAAAATGAGCTACCCAAAAGTAAGTCCTTGGGGCAGAAAAACAAAATGGGGTCAGGGTTAAAATCTCGCAAAAAGGGTAGTCCCCTTAAGGTTTCCCAAAAAGGTTTTTGGGGGGAAAACGTGTAACCCTTTTATTTTTTAAATTTTTAAATGATTTAAAAATGGAAATATAGCACATTTTTTTAAACAAATGGACAAAGTTTGTATGATTGACCAAACAGCAAACAAAGACGAGAAATAAATATCTACAAGCACATATATCTTTTGTTAAAAGTCGCGGATGACAATCGAAGAAAAGCATCTTCAGGTCATAGATAAAATGGAAAAAAAAGAAGAAAGAAATATATTCAATATTATATGTAACATTTTTTCTATGTTGCCGTGCACAACCGCTCATATCAAAGCATATGAATTGACGGATCAAATATAAACAAAAGATGTAATGCAGAACTCGATAAATGTGGGTCCTTTTTTATCTAATCTCTGAGTGCAAAAAAAAACTTTTACAGTTATTGATTCACGGTGCACAACCGTTCTCAATAGATATGCATGTATTTAACAAATTGTACCCCGAAATTAGCTGGGAAAATCCATCATTTGCCGGATTCCGGAGTATCTCTATTTAGATGGCTCACAATGTGCAACGGGAGGTTACCCATATAATTTAGTCGATGTGTACCTACTGTAGTTATTTCCCTTGTCATATTACACCGTATTGTAAACTGTCGTGTAAGTCGAATACCATAAGTTGAATAAATTACATCACGGGTATGTCAACAATATTCGCTAATCACAATAGACATAAATATTATGTGTACTTTTATGTTTTATTTATTAACAATAATGGAATTTGATTTTCAAACAGTTATTAATAAATTAATCAAAGAACTCCAAAATTGTGTGTAGAAATATTATTATATTACCTAAATAAATTAAAAAATTATAAAAACAAATGAAATGAAATCAAAACTGAATACAAATTCATGTGTTTTAAATATATTTGCAGATGCAATATTATTGATATTTTATTTGTTTAAATCAGACATTAACTGACAATAAAGGTAGTGTGTTGGTACTTTGGTATCGCCGGATAATTCTCTTCGCAGCTATTTATTCATGTAACATGGGTAAAAAGCAAACTTTGTTAGATAATTATGTTAATTAAGTGTACAGAAATGTCCTGAATGTCACGAAACGAGCTACTTTTACACTAAATGACTCTATCAAAATAGCGAAAGGCATCCATTAACCGAACATTTTCATTCATATTCGTAAATGCAAAGCAAACAATGTCTTTTGAGTGTAGAGAAATATAAGTATATCCTTACAATTATAATTTTGTATGAAGCCAGCTGCATTCATGAAAATCAAACACGCGCACTTTTTGCGCAGACGATTTAACCGGATATAAAAGTAATTTTCATATGATACGATAAAGCGCGAAAAAATTCATTTACGTCATAATAAGCGAAAAGGAAATGTGCTATTTTAATTACACTGAAATCATGCACTCATTGTCTATCGGTATAATCAGTGATAAGTGTTTGCACTTGAAACCAAACAATAAACAGGAAAAAATATATAATACTAGATTTAAACAGAGGCGGATATAAAATGAACACATTTGATTAAATTTGGATCGTTTCGAACTTAATAGCCTTTGTCCGTTCTGTTTTCTACCCGTCAAAATCTGTATATTTCAAAATGATGCCAATTGATGACAAAATCCTATTAATGTTAAAAAATAAAAGGAATGCTTTCTTTGTTACAGACAAACTGCAAATAACACGGATCAATAAAATTCGGTTGTACCACTGACCACAAAATGCTAGTGCATGTAATTCTGTTACACTGTACTACGAATATTGTCAAAGATATTGATGGTCATTATACTAAATTGTATGCTGCCTGTCTGTGGAGTCTGTGGCGCCGTTATAGGACGCAACGCCGCTAAATATCGCATTTGACGTCAAATGTCTCATCAATGCCACATAATGTCGCTACCGCTGCTAAATGTCGCAAAATATTCTGTTGTTAAATGTCGCAATGGTAACGTTAAATGTTGTCCCAAAATGTATCTATGAGCTGCGTCACGACAAAACCAACACAGTGCGTTTGCGAACAGCATGGATCAAGACCAGCCTGCGCATCTGATTAGGATCCATGCTGTTCGCTATCAGTTTCTCTACTTGTAATAGAGTTGGTAAGCGAACAACATGGGTCCTGATCAGACTGCGCGGATGCGCAGGCTGGTCTGGATTCATGCTGGTCGCAAACGCACTATGTTGGTTTAGTCGTGACGCGGCTCATATAGAGGATATTCAAGTTTTTTCTCTCAATACAGGATTTATTTTCATCGAGTAGTTTGAAAATAATTATTTCATAAGTGGCGGTAGCCATGAGAGAAATATGGTGGTTTTCATACCACAAGATGAAAATTTATCCTGTATTTATAGAAAAAAAACTTGAATTTTCTGTTTATTATATCTCGTATATTTTTTTTATTTTGACATTACAATTTGAAAGAGTTTCCCTTAAATTTTATGTACTGGCAAAATTTAGAAGAAAGTGGTCCGGGAAGACACCAGTGAAAATGCCGAAAATATGTTTCACTGGAGTGAAAAATAAATTTTTACAGTGAAAATACGGGAAATGAAGTACATGTATATAATAAATAGAGGATATTCAAGTTTTTTTTATCTATAATAACATGATTTATTTTCATCGAGTGTATGAAAATAGATCTTTCACGAGTGGCGATAGCACCTTGTCGATGGCTCGATCACAGTACAAAATTTGTGATTATTTGTTTTTTAACGAATCTTTTCCAATTATTTTTTGTGTTGGGTTAAAGGGGAGGTTGGGGCAATGCTACCTCCTCGATTAAGTGGGCCAGCATCTTCTACACGGTAGAAAAATCACTCAAAATGTGTCTCCTCGTAAAACAAAATACAGAATTTATGTTTAGTAAAAATTCTGGCAACATCAAACTGCACCCAGCTTGATGACATTCTTCGATTTTTGAAAAGCAAGCGTGATTTTTTTTTAATGGATATTGTTTTACAAAATGGTCTTACCTTATTCATCCTTGTTTTTGGTCGGTAGCTCTCATTTAAACAGTTCCCCAAAATGTGAAAGAGCCACTGTTTTAGTAGGGGTGGCATAAAAGGGTACCGATATGGATATGCACCGTGACGTACAGTGATTTGCATACTTTGGCAAATTTATAACTGAACAGGTGTCCATCAACGTGGTCATCATCGCTGAATGTCAGAATTCAGTCGAGGACTTCAGAGTTCTTTCATGTGAGGAAGCCAAGAAACGTTGGTGATTATAAAGTTCCTTTTTCGTACACAACAGAGGTCTTCCTCCACCAGTCTGGAAAATCGCTGTATGACCGCACTCTGTTGTAATGTTTTTATGTCTAAAAGGTTGTATATCCTAGTTTTTAAATCTTATTGGGAGGAAATAAAATTATAATTATAGTCATGCGTTTGAAGCTCCTCCTAATTAAGGTCTTATTTCTGAACTCGTAATTCTATTTTTATTTCTCTAAATAAGGTTGCTTAAACTTCTTATTAAGTGCTACACAATTACCATCACGTGCATTACTCCTATTTATGAATTAAAATTCCTAATAATTGTAAGATATTATAATAAGGCCTTTTATAACTCCTATTTAGTAGAATAAAAGTCCTAATTATGCTTTTAAATTTCATAATTAAAAGTGAAAAAGTCCTTATTAGCCTTTTTTTATCTCATATTCAGAAGTAGTAAAGCTCTAATCAGACTTTTGAGACTCTTTTTAGTTTTTAAGTACACTTAAATTTTAAACATTCCTAAACAGTTTTGCATCAGTTGTCATATTATAAGAGTGTTTCGACCATGCGACCACATACATGCATCGAGCACATATTGTACTGAAAAGTGACCGTGCGACCACATACAAGCATCACAGAATTCCCCTTCTCATTTGAGAAAGGGACAGAGTTGTCCGCCCCTTTGAAAAAGGGCAGACTTTAAAAATATGCCACTTCCTTATTGATAAGGAGGGCAATTCCTTTGTCACGTTTTGATTTGGTTTATATACAACAATAGTTATGCAAACCAAATGGGTTAACAGTGTACGTCATTTTAAGTCCATTATGGAAGTTTTAAAAAGGCCTTACCTAATTTCTTGGAAAATTTTGAGTTTACAGATTTTTCTACTTTTTGTTCTGTGTATATAACAAATTTTGTTATTTTCTGCAGAACATGAACGTTTCAAGCATTAAAAATGCGAGATAATCTTTCACACTTTGTTTGCAAATATTAGCCCTGGGGGCATACGTATTTGCCAAAGTACGCTTTTATTTTATTGGCGTCCGCGCCGAAGCGCGGCGCCCTTTATGGAATGAAATCAGATTTTGTGAAAGGGCGACAGCAACTTCTCGAGCCTTTTAGTTGGTCATAATAAAAGCCGATCATTCCAATCGGTATGAGGGTGCTTGATTATTATTAATTAAAAATGAAATGTCGCGATATGTACAATGAATAGCGAACTAGAGAATTTCGCAATGCAAACATTTTCAAATGAAAGAACCTTTTCTGTCTCTTCGTTTTTTTTTTATTGTACACAGGGTTATAATGGTATGTTAAAATAGGATGATGAGTTGATTACCCAAACATTCCGAAAATCTATTTATAGAGGGATGTACTCCTATAGGTGTTTCCCGATCCCTCCTGGTCTATTTTGACCGGGATTTACTAGTGAGCGGCGAATAGTATCACATGTTTATTGTCCGGTCTCTCCCGGTTTTGGAGTAGATGTTTGATATCGTTACAGAACAGAACAAATATTTTACAGATAAATAGGCTTTTTTTCCAAAATGAATGTTTGTCATTTAGTTTGGTTACAAAAATTAATAAACATAGATCAACTCTCAGATTTATTGATTATTATTATTACTATACATAAACATACAATTCGAAAAAAAAAACCCAACAACAACAACAACAACAATAATAGCATGTTTCATTTTATCTTTATGAGATAAAAACAATAAATATGTACAATAACTGAGAAAAAAGGTACATATTTATGGTATCAATATGACACTATCAACTTTGAAAATTTTTATTTAATTTGTTCTTCGTGTTTAGTAAAGATGCCGAGGAATAATTCAAAGTTACAAATTAGATTTTATGAATTATTCAATTGATTGATAATTTAAAAATAATAAAGAAAATACAAATGTACATGGTTTGAGAATATACAATATTATATATTGAAATATTAACCATAATTTACTGCCTTTTTTCTGTTAAGTTTTGACTTATAATCGCCGGTCAATATGACAATTGAATTCTTAAAGTTTATTTTACAATTTTAATAAAAAAAAAAAGAGTAGTAAACGTAAAAACTCAGTATTAAAATAGCACATATAACACATAAAAAAGAGGAAAACAATATTCATAAAATCTGTATTTTTTATAATAAAATAGATATTATAATTATTGTATAATAAACAATTATGTTTAACATGATCAACATGGTAATATAACCAGTGTCATATTTTTACTAAGTGTGAACAGATACCTTAAGAGGGGGTCTTCGCTAATAGCGATAACATAATAAGAGACACTTACACAAGTGCGGTGTTGATCATGGATTATAAATGATTGTATACATGTATATCCGTTGCTATTAATAATCACGATCATAAAGAAATAACAAGTTATATTCTTATCTCTAGCGTGCCAATCAAAGTTCATAATGAACAATGTCTTTCGTCCGTTCATTCTGGTAAAAACCAATTAACCATTGAAAAGTTTATAAGAATATCTTGTCATCATAATTATGTCTACTAGTTCATCTTCACTTTCTGCATTTCTTGCTTGGACGCCCTTTGATGCTTTGCATCAATGTTTTTCTTGTCCTACTTGTAATAAAAGAATGATGTGATTGGCTGTAAGAAAAAAAAGATATATAAGGATAAGATGCTGACAAGTCTTACACTGGTAAGACTATACATATTTTCAAGCCCTATCTTAAGCCTGCTGAATTAGCTATTTAAACTATCAATCTTGGAATATCAAAATATAAATTTTTAGTTTACATAGATCTCTATACTGGAAAAATCGCTCCGGTTCCAGCAGCATAGAAGTGGAGTGTTATTAACAGTTGTCATATTTACACAATTTAATGATTAACGAATTCTAATTGAAAAGTTTTGAATCTGCCTTTATGCCTATGTAACTGTAGCATATGCCTTTAAACTTTCATTTGTTATATTTTTCAAGATAGAAAAGTTATCAACGTGCTAGGTGCATCGAGGGAACTCTTTTTATTAACACACAGGACCAAACATTGGCCATCTATTCAATGCAATTTCACATATATAAATATAGACATAGATCAAAAAATGAGTTAAAAAAACTTTTGGTTTAGACCCCGGTGTCCAATTCAGGATATAGACATATTTATGTGTTCTAGACCCCCCCCCCCCCAGCAGGCACATCAACGTTGTTTCAACGTTGAATTATGGTCAAATTTCAACGTTGAAATAAGGTTGGATTTATATTCGGATTTGAAAGTTGAAACAACGTTGAAATTTCAACATTGATACAACGTTGCAGCTTCAACGTTGGCACAACGTTGAAGTTTCAATGTCATTTCAACGTTGAAAACCCACCATACTTTATTTTTTGGATATAAAGCAAAGTAACCAAGTTTAATTTTTGGATATAAAGCAAAGTAACCAAGTTTAACAAAATATCAAGACAATATTAAATACTTCAGATATTTTATTTCAAAAATACAGTTCAAGTGCAGCTTAAATTCACTTTAATAGTTTTAACAATTAAACTACAATCTGTTCCAATCATTTCTTCTAGATCTTTCTGGGTATGTCAAGTGTTTGAGTACTTCTTTGGCTGTCTCTTAAATTACTGCTCCTGCAAATAAATAATAAGAAGTTTATAGTTATAAAAGTGACTTGGTCAATCTCAAATTATACATATAATTACTCAACTTAGTGATTTGTTTTTATCTTAAAATGCTTTTCTCTAAGATTTACATCATAAAACCGCATAAAAATTGAAACATAGCTAAGTTTCATATTGACAGCAAATACTGTATATAAGACAACAAAATCTTTTTCAAAAGAAACTATTTAAAAGTCTCACCTATGGTTGGTAAGAAAAACTGCTCCCCGTCAGTTCCTTGCAGCATATTCCCAAGAAATTAACATTCTAGGCTCTTGCCAAGACCATTTTATGCAGCATCCTGAAATCAACAAACATGTTAATTTTATATAAATAATGATACGCGAATATTCCGAAAATAATATATTTTAAGACAAGATAAATATCCAGTAGTTGAAAAATTTATACTTTGTATTGTAAAGAAATTCAAATGTATAAATAAATAAGAATAAATTTCAATTTAACAAACCTGACAGTCCTTTTCATGTTGAATGTATGGTATAAAGGCTACATCTGTAATACTCTAAATTTCAACCAGGACCAGGATCTAGAATATAAAATAATACATAATAAAATAGAAATAGATTTATTATTCCCCATAAATTTACGACTATTAAACTTTAAAGTTTAACACTCAAATTTGTTATTTAACTTAATAATAATGTATTTTTTTCAAACTAATTAACACTGTATTATACTATCACTAAAATATAAACATAGTTATATATATTGACGAATCGTCTTGGGACGTAAATTATGTGGGCCGAACTATTTAATAGGTTTCAATTTTATAATTGATTAAATTCTAATTAGGATATAGTACAGACAATAATATTGTTTAATAATATGAAAAATAAATTAAAGAAGAACAAGATTTGTAAAATCATAAATTGCCAAGGACATCAATAACTTCATGCTTACAAGGCCTACCGATCCCAAATCTTTTAATTAGGTCGCGAAAACGTGTCAAATCAACACAATCATATGTTTTCATCTCTCATTTATTTAAAGTAGAATTTTAAGAATAGATAATAATATTTAAGAAAATAATCAGTAAACTAAAGTAAAACATTACGGTAATACCTCCGAAATCCAAATAAATTGCCAGTCGTGTTGTTTTCAAATTTTCCAAACAGCGCCACCATTTGCACGAACGATAATCATAGACAACAAACAAAATCATAGACCGCAACAATTACTTCCCCTGACCAGCGTTATTTTATCAACGGGGTTTTGACTTATATCAATTTATTAATTCATATTTTTCATAAAGAACTAAAAAATAAAACAACAAAACATATTAACTAATATTTAAAGCGTTAATAGAAAGCGAAAAATTATTTCCAACTTTATTTGTTTCGATTCAGCGCTAATTTTGAATATACGGAAAAAGATTGTAACGCAAATTTTCCTGACAAAAATCACTTACAGACTAATTCAATAAATGAATAATAACACAAAATTAGTGGTATAAAAGTTTATATAATGATTAAACTAAATGTAAAACTTCGACCATAAACAACGTTGAATCAACGTTGTATATACATTGGCTATATATCCGTATGGTCGTCCATAGTTGAATCTTGGTTGAACAACGTCATGACCATATTTCAACGTTGTTTCAACGTTGAAACAACGTCGAGTGCCTGCTGGGCCTATATGTTCTTTTTAAACCAACTAATATGAATACTTTTAACAGATTTATAATGAAAATAATGATATATTAAAAACTTTTTAAGTAAAAGATCACTAACCATTTTTTCACGCAACTTCACCTAAACAATATGGCGACAAATGACGTCACGGCCACGTGTCATATACTTGCTAGTATATCAAGCTGAAATCGTGAATTCGTGAAGTTGAAATCGTGAATTCACGAATTTGAAATCGTGAATTCATGAAGTTGTAATCGTGAATTCATGAAGTTGAAATCGTGAATTCATGAATTCCGTATGTTGAAAACGTGAATTCACGAAGTTAAATATGTGAATTCATGAATATGAAATCGTGAATTCATGAAGTCGAAATGGCCCTACCGGTCTTTCGTACATAACAGATAATGAACTCACGATTTCAATTTCATGAATTCACAATTTCAACGTCATGATTTCAACTTCATGAATACATGTTTCGAACTTCACCATTTCAACTTCATGAAGTTGAAATCGTTGATTTATGAAGTTGAAATCATGAAGTTGAAATCGTCAATGCATGAAGTTGAAATCTTGAGTTCGTGATTTTGAAATCATGAAGTTCAAAACATGAATTCATGAAGTTGAATTAATGGAGTTGAAATCGTGAATTCATGAAGTAGAAATTAGGAATTCAGGAAGTTGAAAGGTCCCGACCGGTTTTTGTAAAAATCAAATATCCTTCTAGAAACTCCTTTGTATGTAAGCTTTAAAATAGTTCTGGGACAGTTTATAATAATCATTTACAAGCGCCAAACTATGTACAAAAAGAAACAATGTCATATTTCAATACGTGAAAATAAAATCTGTTGTTCAGATTCACATTTGTATATTGTGTGAATGGTGCAAGTAGGAGGGAATGAGGCGGAGTATTAAAGAAATATGGGCGGGATCCAAATATAGGTTTCACAAGCAGACAACTTATGACATGGTCACCTTCCCCCTCACCCTTAACTCAAGAGTGTGATAAATGATGTCCCTTTGCGGCGAAGAAATGTGGGGATGCAAAGAAATTACATTTCATAAAAGCTTCTAAATCAGAACAACTTTCCGTTGCTTGCAGACATCCAGAAACGTACATATGGCCACTTGAGATTTGAAGATAAGCGCACTATCAGATGTCTCGTGCACTTTTGATACGGCGCGTGGACAGGGCATATTGTGTGCACTCTGGTATACGCAGGCGCCAAATCATAACGTTGTATTGTGACAGACAAACAATAGACTACTATAACAACAATCAGCAGGATATGATTTATAATATTTCCGGCTAATTATTTTTAACGCCCACTGTGCATTGCTCTTCATGTAAAATGATTCATTGAGTTCTAGTTTACGATAAAAAAAAAACTATCCTTTTTTTAATTTTCATACATTCAATGTATTTCATAAAGACCAAATATCAAGCAATCTGGTTTAAGCAAAATGTTTTTAAGAAGCTCAAATAAAACTCTGTTTTAGCAGCATTAAGTTTTTATGGAGCTCAAATAACTCTGTTTAAGAAAAAACTCATATAGAACTCTGTTTTAGCATAAAGTTTGTTTTTTGAAGCTAAAATGATACTCTGTATAAGCAAAAAGTCATAAAGTTTTAAATTACCTCAAATTGTACTTTGTTTTAACATACAGGTTTTATTAAGCTCAAATAGTACCCTCTGTTTTAACATACAGATTTTACAAAGCTCAAATAGTTATCTGTTTTAACCCATTACTTCATATACACGCCTTTTAACGCCTTTTTCACCCCCCCCCCCTTTTTATTGTCTCAAATGATGAAAAAATGCCTTATTTAGGCCCCAAACACTTGTTTTTGTTTGAGAAATGTTGTAAAAAAAAAGTGACCTCTTTTTCGGCGCGGCCCCCAAACCAAAAGATACATCAGGGGGTTGCCAGAAGGGGGATGTGCCCCCTTCTTTTTGGGGGGGTTTGAAGGGGGGCGGAGTCCCCCTCATCGCCAAGAAAATTTTGACCCCAGATTGATCATAAGGTAACGTGTAACCAACGCTGAAAAGCATTTGACTCTATCTCAATCCATTGAGAAGTTGCAGCACTTTGAAATCAATTTTGATGGAAAAAATCAACGCAAAATAGTGATTTTTGGCAATTTTGAGATGTCCCCTCGTTGCCATGGTAACAGAAAATTTAAGCCTGAGCATGTTGTTGCAAGGGCAATGGTCCAGTCAACATTTGTGCCAAGTTTGATTAGTGTTGAAGCAGTTTTTATAGTATTATAGCAATTTGAACTTGTAACGGGAGACTTTTCAATGAAAACAGCCATTTTTCACAAAAATGCTCATGAAGTAATGGGTTAATGAAAAAAATAAAAAAATCTACAAAAACAACAATTTTTCTTCAAATTTATATGACAGGCCATGTTTAAACATGAAAAAACGCGATTTAGGGTAATTTCAAGTATTTTCATCATTTTCTGTTAATGAAAAAAAAAAAAAATCTACAAAACAACAATTTTTCTTCAAATTTATATGACAGGCCATGTTTAAACATGAAAAAACGCGATTTAGGGTAATTTCAAGTATTTTCATCATTTTCTGTTAACCCATTACTTCATATACACGCCTTTTAACGCCTTTTTCACCCCCCCCCTTTTTATTGTCTCAAATGATGAAAAAATGCCTTATTTAGGCCCCAAACACTTGTTTTTGTTTGAGAAATGTTGTTAAAAAAAGTGACCTCTTTTTCGGCGCGGCCCCCCAACCAAAAGATACATCAGGGGGTTGCCAGAAGGGGGATGTGCCCCCTTCTTTTTGGGGGGGTTTGAAGGGGGGCGGAGTCCCCCTCATCGCCAAGAAAATTTTGGACTTGTGAGAGGCTGTAAATGACCCCAGGTTGATCATAAGGTAACGTGTAACCAACGCTGAAAAGCATTTGACTCTATCTCAATCCATTGAGAAGTTGCAGCACTTTGAAATCAATTTTGATGGAAAAAATCAACGCAAAATAGTGATTTTTGGCAATTTTGAGATGTCCCCTCGTTGCCATGGTAACAGAAAATTTAAGCCTGAGCATGTTGTTGCAAGGGCAATGGTCCAGTCAACATTTGTGCCAAGTTTGATAAGTGTTGAAGCAGTTTTTATAGTATTATAGCAATTTGAACTTGTAACGGGAGACTTTTCAATGAAAACAGCCATTTTTTCACAAAATGCTCATGAAGTAATGGGTAATGAAAAAAATAAAAAAAATCTACAAAACAACAAATTTTCTTCAAATTTATATGACAGGCCATGTTTAAACATGTAAAAACGCGATTTAGGGTAATTTCAAGTATTTTCATCATTTTCTGTTAATGAAAAAAATAAAAAAATCTACAAAACAACAATTTTTCTTCAAATTTATATGACAGGCCATGTTTAAACATGAAAAAACGCGATTTAGGGTAATTTCAAGTATTTTTCATCATTTTCTGTTAACCCATTACTTCATATACACGCCTTTTAACGCCTTTTTTCACCCCCCCCCCCCGTTTTTATTGTCTCAAATGATGAAAAAAATGCCTTATTTAGGCCCCAAACACTTGTTTTTGTTTGAGAAATGTTGTTAAAAAAAAGTGACCTCTTTTTCGGCGCGGCCCCCCAACCAAAAGATACATCAGGGGGTTGCCAGAAGGGGGATGTGCCCCCTTCTTTTTGGGGGGGGGGGGGTTGAAGGGGGGCGGAGTCCCCCTCATCGCCAAGAAAATTTGGACTTGTGAGAGGCTGTAAATGACCCCAGATTGATCATAAGGTAACGTGTAACCAACGCTGAAAAGCATTTGACTCTATCTCAATCCATTGAGAAGTTGCAGCACTTTGAAATCAATTTTGATGGAAAAAATCAACGCAAAATATAGTGATTTTTGGCAATTTTGAGATGTCCCCTCGTTGCCATGGTAACAGAAAATTTAAGCCTGAGCATGTTGTTGCAAGGGCACAATGGTCCAGTCAACATTTGTGCCAAGTTTGATTAGTGTTGAAGCAGTTTTTATAGTATTATAGCAATTTGAACTTGTAACGGGAGACTTTTCAATGAAAACAGCCATTTTTCACAAAATGCTCATGAAGTAATGGGTTAATGAAAAAAA